AGGCGGGCACAGCGGGCGGGGGAGGAGGGGGAGACGCCCCGCGGGCTCTGCCCCTCTCGGCCCCCCAACAGGTGTCTCCCACCTTCCTTAAGGCCAGACTCACGGAGAGGGGGCGCTGGAGAGTTACCGGGGACACTGCGAGGTAGAGTGAGTCCACCTCGCCTGGACTGTGACCAGGGCCCCGCCCAGCGCCCCAAGTCGTGCCCCCTACACCCACCGCTCTCACTGCTGAGTATTTTACACACAGCTGCGTTCTCATGCCAACACACCTTGCCACAAGTTTAGACATAAAGCTGCCCAGTCACACACTCTGTTGCAGGTCATTCCAGTGCCAACAGCCTGGGCAGCTGGTGATCACCAGAATCATGCTGCACAATGCTGGGGTGAGTGTGGAGCCTGGCTAGAATAGGAGCTTCTTCTCCTGCCCTGCCCACCTTCCCTGTCCTCACCTCTGTGTGTTACAGTTTGCACACAGGTACGTGTGCATCTGGCCACAGGCCCGTGGCACGTTCTAAGGTCTCTGAGCTGACTGTAGACCCACAGCAGTACACACACACCACATACACAGATACTAGGCAGCATGCACTTTTATCTTTTTAAATTTTTCTTGACATTCATTTTTGTTATTCATTTATTTTTGGTGCTGGAAATTGAACCAGATGCAACTCTACCACTGAGCTATACCCCTAACCCTTTTTCAAGAATTTTAAATCACAAGATAGGTTTTCACTAAATTGTCCAGGCTGGGCTCAAACTTGTGATCTTCCTGCCTCAGCTTTCCCAGTTGCTGGGATTAGAGGTTTGTACCACCACACTCAGCTTCCCTTGACATTCTCTTGTGGCTATTTCCAAACATACATGTCAGAAATTGGAGTACAATGAACCCCAGGTGCTCAACACTTTGTGATCAGTATTTTGCCTATCTTCACACATATTCTGCACTTGTGTGTGCCTGACTTCCACGTCTGTATCCCTACGCTTCTCAGGCACCCTCATACTTCCCCAGTTTCTTTCTGTGTCCAGATGGACCTATTTATGAAAGGCATGAGAAACACCCTACAGTGAGTGAGTAGCAAGTGTCCATGGGCGCACCTGGCATGGATACACTACGATGCATATCTTGCCACACCAATGATCATCCTCTGACCTCACAGCTGGTGAGGCACACATGCCCCAGGGCCACCATTCCTCTATTTTCTCCTCCCTCACCCTATCAGAATCAATCCACTCTTTTTGGATTCAGTTTGCCTTAGCCCAGACCACCAGCTCATCTCACCAGAATCCCATGTTGGATGTCATTCTTTGCTCTGCCTGGCTCCAGCCTCCACCTTTCATCAGTTTCTGCTGCAGCACTAAATTCTTGTTCTCTATGGCCTATCCCTACCTATGCTGAGGCTCATTGCCACTCAGTGTCTAGCCTCAGTGTCCCTCACCTTAGATATTGGATCTCACAGCTGGACAGCACTCCTATCTTTGGTGCGCCAGCCTCCTTCAGCCTGATGCCCCCTTTGAGGTGACTGTTTGACTTGAGTTCTCCTGGGAAAGAGCCAACCCTGGCCCCAGAGGGGAGAATGGGTGAACCAGCAGAGGCAGACCCTGCAAACCTCTGCTGTCCTGGTTATGCCCCATTCCCCAGCTTCTGGCTACTCAGAGATTCCTGGAGAGATGGGTAAATTTCTGGAAAGGTAGGAACTAGCTTAGGAGAATTCTAGTTTTGAGAGTTTGTAGGTTACTTTTTTAGAGTTTGGGTTAGAGGAGAGAGGAGGCTGGGCAGTTACCCTTCCCCATAACATAAATAAACAAACAAATAAATAAAGAGAATCAAGCTTGGCATGCTGGCAACTTCCTATAATCCCAGCACTTTGGGAGGGTGAGGTAGGAGAATCACAAGTTTGAGCCTAGCCTGGGCAACATAGCAATTATATTGAGATCCTGTCCCAAAATAAGAAATGAAAAGGGCTGGGAATGTAGCTCAGTGAGAAGGTATTGGCCTCAATTCCCAGTACTACCATCACCACACACACACACACACACACACACACACACACACACACACACACACAAAGTGACAGTAAACCACTTTTAGGGTTTGGGCCAGGACAGACTGAGGGAAAGGAGTAGTCTGATGTCTGATGGGAACCTATTTTTGCCTCTCTCTTCATCTATAAAAGAAAAGGCTGCAATAGGGGAGGGTTGAGGGGGTGAAGGGAGGGCAGGGGTATGGGGAAAAACTAAGAACCAAGATCTGTCATGTAAAAGTACAAGATCCCAATGATGAATGTAACTGTACTGTATATTTAAAAAGTACCAATAAACTAAAAAAAAAAAAAAAAGAAAAAAAAAGCTGCTTCTCATACCCACATGCATAGTCTGCTTCTAGTCCTCACAGAGACAGACTGACCTAGACTTCCAGAAGCCAATGCTTTATTCATCAAACACATATTTATTTAATATCTACTTTATGCCAGTAACTGTTGAATACAGAAAAAAAAACCCTGTTATAATGGCATAACTCTAGTGCGGGAAATATAACTGTGTCAGATGGTGATATGTACCATGGGGGAAATATAGCTGGGTTGGGAGGGATAGAAAGGGGAGAGTATAGTGGTTATCTACTGCTGTGTAACAAATTACCCCCAAGCTTAGAAGTTTAAAACAACAAATATAGCTTGGCACAGTGGTGCATGCCTCTAATCCTAGCTACTTAGGAGTTTGAGGCAGGATTACAAGTTTGGGCTTAGCCTGGGCATCTCAAGAGATTCTGTATCAAAATTAAAAATTAAAAAAGAGCTGGGGATGTAGTTCTGTATGATGGCCTGATTCAATCTCTACTGCTGGAAATACACACACACACACACACACACACACACAAACGCACACACACACAATTTATTTCTCACATTTTTTTGAGATTCAAGAATGGCAGACTCTTGAGACCTAAGCTAGGTATGTAGTGCTCATCTGTAATCCCAACTTTCAGGAGGCTGGGCAGGAGGATCACTGTGAGTTCAAGGCCAGCCTGAATTACTGCACACCAAAAAACTTTTTTTTTTTTTGTACTGGGGATTGAATTCAGGACGGTGCTACTGAGATAAATCCTCAGCCCTCTTAGGAGGTTGTAGTAAAAATATTGGATGAGGTTGCTGTCATCTGAAGTCTTGATTGGGGCGGAAGGAACCACTTCTAAGACAGTTCACCCACAAAGCTATTGGCAGCCCCACATGCACCTCTTCATAGGATTGCTTGTGTGTCTTTCTGAAAGAAAGTTAGGTTTCCCTAATGTGAACCAAAAGAAACTAAAGAGGCAATAGTGTTTTTATGGTTTAGAGGAAGTCACACACTGTCACTTCTGAAATACATATGTGTCATTTGTTAAAGCATATAACTAAGTCTAGCCCTAACTCAAGAAGAAGGATATCAGGACTCACCTCTTGAAGGGAGAAATATCAAAAATTTCATGGAGGGAGCTGGAGTTGTTGCAGCTCAGTCATAGAAATACTTTCCCAGAATGTATAAGGCCCTGGGTTTATAAACCCAGCACCAAAAAACAAGACAAAACAAAACAAAAAACAAAACAAAGAAGGGATGGTATTTCTTAAATATTAAGAATTCACGGAGAAAGAATTGAAAGGGGAGAGGAAAGGAGCTATGTGAAGAACCTTGAAATCAGAATAGCCAGTGCAAATGACCCTGAAGTGGAAGAAGCTTGATGTGTAGGAAGAGATGCAAGGAGGCCACTGGGTCAGAAGAGTTGAATGACTAGATGCTTGTTTAGTGGTAAAATGGGTCTTGGTGCAGGCTGCGGAAGGGGTGAGAGGGAAGGACAAGGTGGAGTCACTGGAAGATCTCCACAAAGTGAAAGTGGCCTCTGCGCAGGGTCAAGCATGGGGATCAATTAGATGGCAAATGTAGTAGCCAGTCAGGGAGGGGTGATGGTGTCTTGGACCAGCGTGGTAGCAGTGGATGTGACAAAAAAAGGTTAGAGCCTGGACTTTCTGAGGATAAAAGGATTTGTTGATTGTTTGTGTGTAGGGTGTAAGCGAATGAGAGGGGTCTAAGAGGACTCCAAGGCTTGTGGTCTGGACAGCTGGGTCAATGGAAGTGCCCTTAATCAGGACATTAAAGACTGCAGCGTAGTGGGGTGGAGCAGGATTAGAGAATCCATTTGTTTTGGACATTTGTTTCCTTTTTGTACTGGGGATTGCACGCTAAATGAGTGGCATCCCCATCCCTTTTTCCTTTTTTTCTCTTAGAGATTTACTAATTCAGGCTGGCCTTGAACTCAGACAATTTTAGCATATGTGAGCACTTGAACCCACTAGAGCCAGGCATGGTGACACACACCTACGCACCTGTAATCCCAGTCTAAAAAAAAAAAAAAAAAGTTGGACTCACTACACAGCCCAGCCCAGGTTGGCCTTCAACCAGTGGCAATCTTTCTGCCTCAATCTCATGGGACTACAGGCATGTGCCATCACACCCAGCCCCAGCCCCAGTCCTTTTTAAAATTCTGAGACAGAGCCTTGCTAAATTGCCAGGCTGGCTTTGACATTTGTAATCTTTCTCCTCAACCTCTTCAATCATTGTGTATTAAAACTGGGACCTTCTTCATGCTAGGCAAAAACTCTACTACAGAGCTACAAGCTGGTCTTGAAGTTGAGATTCTCCTCCCTCAGCTTCCTAGGTAGCAGAGGCTGAGTATCCATTGTGCTTGGCTTGTTTTGGACATTTTAAGTTTGAAATATCTACTAAACAACCAAGTGGAGATGTTCAGTAGAGATAGAAGCAATAAGATAACCAAAGATGGAACATAGCAAGGGATTTAGGCACAAAGATTTAGGAGTCAAGAACATAGATTTAGGGCCGGGGACTTAGCTCAGCGGTTCTGCCACCTGTCTTACAAGCACAAGGATGCAAATTCAATCCCCAGTACCCCCCAAAAAAGAACAGAGACTTAAAAAACATTTTTTAAAGATTAAAAAAGTAGTATTTAGTCATGAAGTAGTTGAGCTCACTTGAGAGGGGGTATAAACAGAAAAGAGATTTGAGTACTAAGTCAAAGGTTGAGAAGATAAGAAAGTTCAGCAAAAGAGGCAATGAAGGCAGAAAATAGTGTCCTAAAAAATGATTACCTGTGTCCAAAAAAACCGTAGGGCTGGGAGCATAGCTAAGTGGAGGAAGGCATGCTTAGCATGCATATAAGGTGCTGGATTCAATTCTAGCACTGACTAATAAGAAATTAGAGAACTATGAAATGACCATTGGACTTGCAAGAGATGGGGAGGGGCCTTGGGACCTAGTTCTTTGATGAAGGGATGAAGAGATCATTGGGGCATCCCCCATGACTACAAGCTCCCAGCCTGGAGGTAGAGCTGAGTAAAGGATGGATGGGGTGGGGTGGGGGTGGGACTCCTCCAAGGAGGCGTGGTTTTGCAGCCAAGGATAGATGCAGAGGCTGGCCCTTGCCTGTCAGAGCCAACACAGTGGCAATCAGTTGGGAATCAAGGTGGGCTATTTGCCTGGGCTTCATGTTCATTCAGGCCATGCATTTTTTTTTTTTTTTTTTTTGGGTACTGGGGATCGAACTCAGGACCTTGCACTTGTGAGGCAGGTGGCAGAACCACTGAGCTAAATCTCTGGCCCTGTGTTATTGTTTTAAGACTAGGTCTCACTATGCAGTTCAGGCTGACTTGAACTCACTATGTAGTCCAAACTGGCCTTCAACCCTGTGTCCCTCATGCCTCAACCTCCCAGGTACTGGGATTACAGGTGTGAAGAACCATACCCAGTGCCACAGCCATACATTTAGGCTTTTGATGTTTGCAAGTGAGGTTACACATGTAGTCTTTTTTATTTGTGTTCATCAGAACGTCAAACTTTGGGCATGGTGGCACATGTCTATAATCCCAGTGCTCTGGGAGGCTGAAGCAGAAGCATTAAAAGTTCTAGGCTGCTCCGAACAACTTTGTGATCTAGAAAGAACCTGTCTCAAAATAGAGTAATAAACCAGGTGTGCTGTTACTCGGCCGTAATCCTAGCACTCTAGGAAGCTAAAGCAGGCAGATCATGAGTTCAAGTCCCAGTTGGGCAACTTAGTGAGACCATCTCAAGAAAAAAAAAGGCTGATGATGTAGTTCAGTACAAGAGTCCTGGGATCAATCCCCCAATACTGCAAAAAATAAAATAAAAAGTAAAAAAAGAGGCCAAAGATGTAGCTCAAAGGTCTTGTGTTCAATCCCCAAACTGGAAAAATGTTAAATTTAAAATGCATAATTTTATGAGAATGCTTCTTACATTTTTTAAATACCAGGAAACCTAGGGGCCAGGAATTCAGCTCAGGGGCACCATGCCTGCCTCGTAAGCACAAGATCCTGAGTTTGATCCCCAGTACCAAAAAAACAAAACAAAACAAAAACAAAAACAACAAACCAAAAACACTAGGTGATAGGAAAGCCTGAGCCTTACTTAACCTCAGAAGGCCAGGGTAGAGAGGAGGCAAGTTTGCACCTATGGTGGGAAAATTAAAAAGGCAAGTGGTTAGCACCTTTGGGAGTGAGTGTACTTTAGGCCCCTGTCTTGCCTCACGATAGTTCTGGCCAAGTCTACCTCACGTACTACCAGGTAGTTCATCTGCTTCCCACTCTAGAAGCCCACAGAAATGGTGGGTCAGGAGGCAGATACAGAGTACAGGAACTGTTGCTTTGGGTCTCGAACAATACTATGGGAGATGGGTGGGGGGGGGATGGCACTGCTTTTTTTTTTTTGTTCAAAAGTAGGTACACACCACCACCTTGTGGCCATCAAGGGCTGGATTCTCAGGACTTTTCCCAGTTTAACAGGCAGAGTAAAGCCAAGACACACACCACTTAACTCTGGCCTGAGTCACACGGATTGTGACATTCCTGTGTTGAAGAAAATGTTATCACATATGATAACCTCAATCCAAAACCCCTGATCTCCTGGGATGGAGTCCAATAATGTGTAGGCTCAATGAGTCTCTTAGATAATTAGGCACACTCAAATATAAAGTTCTAATATAGTCCAAAGCCACTGTCTTAAAAACTCAATGCAGAGCCAGTGAGAGATCTCCAAGGTCCCCCACGAGTTATCAGCTGGTGCTTAGACACACAGAGCAATGGAACTGTTTGACAAGTCTTTATTGAGACAGATGGACATAGAACGCAAGAGGGGCAGTGTCTGGAAACTGTGATGTACCCCCACATAGAAAAAGCCCTCTTTATACCAGGTGTAGACACTTGGACCCAAGGTGGAGGACAACTTTCCCACCACGCAACTAAGGGAGGAATGGTCTTTCAGGGATGGAAGAGCATCTATTTTCAGGGATGGGATGTAGCATTGTCTACATTCCTCTGGTTCCTCAGGGGACTTAGTTGCTGAGGGGGTAGATAGGGGACAAGCCACAGGGGCACTTGCATAGCAGGGGAGTAGAATGGGGATAAGGCATATGGTGAGGACAGGGGAGATAAAGGGAAAGAATGTCATGGCTGCAGGGGAAGGGGACCTTCACAGGGCCACTCTCTCCCACCCCATTACTGCTAGGTTGAGGAGTCAGACTGAGGCAGAGTGTTATATCCACCCCGATTCTTAACTCCAGAGCCCTAACTGCAGGCAGGAAGCTCTGGAAAGGCCTGAGTTAGTGAGTCAAGCTTGTGATATGTGTGTTCAAACATGACTGGCCCCCTTGGTATATAGGGAATTCACTCTCTGGATGGGTATGAGTGCCTGATCCTGCAGTACACACAGGTCTTGGCATCTGTATGTCCCAAATGTTCCCATGGGTCTCTATGTCTCGATGTATAAGCATATATGTCCCTCATAGCACAGCAGGAAGTCAGTATTGGCATGGTGTGAGTAGGTCCCTGCTTGTGTACATGCTCTCCAGTAAGTGGATGTGTGTGGGCCTGCCCACTACTGTCCATCCACAGGTCTTCCTTCAAGGCCTGGCTGGTCAAGGGTCCGGGCCGAAGAGGTAGGTGGTGAATTCAAGCCGGAGGCCTCGGGCATAGGCTCGCAGAGTATAGAAGAGGGTGAGGAAGTCCTGGGTGCTGAAGACAGTGTCAGCCAGTGCAAATGCCAGGGTAGATGGTATGACACCCCGGCCATACTCCACCATCCACGTGTTTGGTCCCCATTCCACAGCTGTTGCTTCACCAGGCCCATGCACCACTGTCTCCCCTGGGGGACAGGGAGCACACACATAAGGAGGCCATCTCTGCCCTGCCCTTCTATTGTTGGGTTTCCCTGGCCCATGGGCTCTTTAAGGGTAGGAGATGAAAACACAGTTTCAGGAAAGGAAAAGGCCCTACTTCACTGGCCTAGTCTTCCATTTAGAGAAGAGAGAGCCCCACATAATCATCCTTAAATGTCTGTGGCATCACCTGGCCCATGTCTTCTCTTGGTGGAAACCGGGACTACCCCACATGGCCATGGGCTATTGTATGGAAGTACACATTCTTAAACCTCATTCATGTCAAGTGGACATTTAGGTAAACTTGGGCTGGGGTGGGAAGGTTGGGAGGAGTGGTATCAAGATTTGTGAGGCTTTTTGAGAAATGTAGCTCTTCAATCACAATGCTTTTGTGCTTACACTTAACCTCAAATTCACTCAGAAGTCCAAGATTCTACTTTGGTTGGGTAAAATAGATAAACATCAGACATGTTTGACAGGATGTCATTATACTGTTTCCCTTTAACAGAGGAAGATAATACGGCCCTCAGCTCTGCTCCAATCAACCACCTGTGGCTTAAGTGGGTGGGGAGGAAGAAAACCATGGGGAAGGCCTTCCCAACACCCCCTTTCCAGCTGTGGGTGATTCCAGCGTGAGGGGACCACTCTTTGACAAAGCCTCTTTACTCACCTGGGTAGAAGACCTCACTTTTGGTGGTGCCCTCTCTCCACTGGTGGAAAGTGCCGGAGATAATGGTGTCGGAGATCTCAGCCCAATAGCGGCCTAAGTGATAATCAGATGGACACCTACTATCAGGGTGTCCGCACCATCACACGGCTCAGCCAAACGCCAAAAAGGAGGGAATGGACCCCTGTCCAGCCCCAGCCTCCCCGTCCAGCCCTCCACTAGGACTGACCCGAGTGGCCGCGGGAGCCCAGGGCGGTGCCGAAGAGCAGCACGTATTCGGACAGCGAGGCGTGCAGAAGGCACATGGCGCCCATCCAGCCGCCCGCGTTCACGAATACCCACTGCAGCTCCTCATCAGGCAGCACATGGCCCGGGTGCAGCCTCCGCAGCTCAACAATCAGCTTAGAGAAGGCCTGCTCGTGGTCCAGACCTGGCGGAAACAGGGGAGCGGCAGTCAGGACAGCTCCGGGCCTGGGCCGGGGAACTGCGCCCTCAGAACCTCTGCTTATCTCCTGGGCCGGCAGCCCCACTCCCGCCCTCAGCCGGCTCACCAGCGTACTGCCGCGCTAGCTGCGCGATCTCTTCGCGCTGGAAGACGAAGCTCTGCGCACCCAACCAGAGCCAGAAGACCTGGGTTAGCACTGCCACTGCAGCCAGAAGCAGCGCAACCCACGCCCACCGCCGGCCCACGGCCCACTGCATCCCTGCGGAAGTAGTGGCACAGGGTAGTGCAGGAAGAAGCCTGGGCCCCAAGCTGTAGCTCTCACTGTTTTGAGCCCGCCGGCGGTGCCCAAGACTCGCTCCCCCGCCACCACTGTGGTATGGTTCGCCCTGACCAATCGGAACGGTCCCAGCACTCTAGCACCGCCCCCATCGGTTGAACCATTTCCTTGTGGGGAGCGCAGAGAGGTGGGGCGGTGCCACGCACGTGAGGTGAGGGGGCGGAGCCGGCCTCCTTATCTGTCCACGTTGGGGTCTCCTGGCCCAGTCTCTCAGGCTGGGTGTGTGGCGAAAACTCCAGAACTGATTTTACTGCTTGGGCTCAGTGCTCGGAAAAGTAGGCGAGCCTAGAAGGTAGATCCTTCCGGGACTCGTAATTGTTGGGGTCTACCTTCACTAGCACAGATGTAGAGAGGAGCTAGTGAAACCTGGGACGGCTTTTCAGAGGCCTGAACAGTCTTAAGAGAGAAGAGTATTCCAGTACAGTGGACCCACTGAAAGAGCAAAGGTGCAGAGAGATTGCAGCCCCCCGCCATTGGGCTTTGAACTCAGGGTCTTCCCACTAAGCCTCCCCAGCTCACCCTCCCCACTTTTGATACAGGGTCTCTATAAATCGCTAAATTGTCTGGGTTAGGCTTGAATTTATAATCCTCCTGCTTTAGCCTCCTAGAGTGCCGGGATTGCACGCATGTGCCACCATGTTAGGTTAGCATGGGTTCTTTGTGGGCCTATAACTCATTCTTTGTTCTGAAGCATAAAATTAAAGAGGAGAGCTTTGTAAACCAGTGGAGGATTATCTGCAGCAGAGCAACGGGATTAGGTTTTTGCCTCAGAGACGAGGGTGGCAAGATGAGAGTTGGGGAGATCATGATTATGGTACAGGTAAAAGGGAAGATCTGTGCCAGGAATGATGGCCTGGTCTCATCCCAGCTTAGCGATCTCGCTAGGGATCCTACATAAAAGATGGTAATTAAAACCTTAAAAATGGACAAAATCTCATAGGGAGGGCTAATTGAATAAGGCAAGGTGAAAGAGCTGTAGAAAACACCAACTAAAGGATGGGGGAGGAGGCTCTGACACTAAGTAAAAGAAAGAAGCAGCATAGCAGTGTAGCGTGGTGATTAAGAAACTCTGGAGATGGACTAGGGTCAAAGCCTTGGCTTTTTGCCACCTGCTACTTGTGTGATCTTGGACAAATTAAACTTTCTGTGACTCAGTTTTCTTATCTGTAAAGTGGAATAAATAACAGTACCTATTTCATACAACATACCCTTATTGTCCTGAAGATTAAACGAGCTAATATTTTTGAAGCAATTAGTGCCTGGCACATGGTGGACATTATGTTTAGTTATATAAATAAAACAACTGGAAGAAGAAAGTCTCACACCACAGGAATGATGGAATGGTCAACACAGTTAAATATAATTGAGAGGCTCAATAAGATGATAAGAAGTTGTCATTAGATTTCTCAGTAGTGCCATGGGGCTATGACAATGCTACATCCACAAATCTGTTTCATTTTGCTCTTTGACAGCCAGATTACATTCCAAAAATGATTACGTAGATGAGACCATGTGATTGTATTCTGGACAATGAAATATAGGCAGAGATTGTGTATGCCATTTCTGGGGCAGGCTTCTAAAACCTGTGAAACTCTTCACATTTCCTCATCTTTTACTGTAGTGACAGAGGACCTAGTAGAAAATTCTTAGAATGGAGCCAGGTGTGGTGGCGCACGCCTGTAATCCCAGCACTCGGGAGGCTGAGACAGGAGGATCGCTGTGAGTTTGAGACCAGCCTGGGCTACATAGTGAGTTTCATGTCAGTCTCAATTATGCAGTGAGACCCTGTCTCAAAAAAGAAAAGAAAAGAAAAAGAAAATTCTTAGGGAATGGTAGAGCCACTAGCTGGGTGGAGCCTTGAATGCTACAAGGCACAAAATTTCTTCTACTCCAAATACACACATAATGAATTGTGATACTAAACCACTCATGGTTTGGTAGTGATTTACCATTGAACTTTGGAGTTACAGTAACTAAGATTTCTTACCCTAATTAATATAGGACAAAGGACACCTTACTATATACTGTCATCTAAAAGTAGAGGCTACACGACTGAAATACTGAGTTTAATCATTGTCATGGATTTTTGACATTTCATGTATCTTGCTGAATTAGTAAAATAATAAAAGTAGAGGCTACAAAGATGAACTTTTTTTATTTTTTTAAGAAACTTGGTGGAATGAAACAATTCTGAAACTATTTGGGCCTATCTGGGCTTTCAGAAAGCTCCTCCAATGTGCTTTTTTTTTTTTTTTTTTTTTTTTTAACACAGAGTCTTGCTCTGCAATTCAGGCTGGCTTTGAACCCACTATCTAACCCCAGCTGGCCTCAAACTTGTGGCAATCCTCCTGGATCACCTTCCTGAGTTCTGGGATTACAGGTGTGTGCCACCACGCCTAGCCTAGCACACACTATTTAAGTGGCGGGGAGGTGGTGTATGTCCTTGAGTGGCTCCATAAGGGGACCAAGGGACTTGAAGGTCACAGCCATCTGTAGATGTTATAGCTGAGATCACACCTCTAAAGTCTGGGAGGGAGAGGGCTGGGTAGGATTCATTTAGAACATTCTCTTTTTTCCCCAAAAGCGTGAGCTGGGAGACACAGAGAGGAGAGGTATGGAGATATTCCTGGAGGGGGTTGGCAGTAACTGGCATAACCTAGGATATAAAATTGAAACACTGTTCCTGAGAAAATGAAGCAGACTCCAAAATCCAGACACTCAAAGACACTTGAAAAAGTAGAAAAACAGGTCTCCTATCTCTGCCCTCACCCCCTCTTGTACTATGAACAGCCAGTGGGACAGATAAAACTCATTTCTTAGTACCTGCTTTCTATCTTCTAGCTAGTGGCCTCTTCGGATTCCAGTCTGAGGACTCTAGGGCAAAGATCAGGTAGATGACCAATGACTTTTTTTTTTGCAGCTTGGTTGCAGAATACCTATCTGACTTGGGAGAAGGGGCCTCCCTGCTTTAGTTTAGCTCCTAGCTCACTAAGTTTCTGTGCTGAATCTCACTGAAGTCTCAGACACATGTCACAGCACTAGAAGTCTCCTTGGAACTCTGCATTAAAATCTCAACTTACCATTCATTCTCTGGGTAACCCTGGTGTCTATGAAGTGGAGAAGAAGTATAGATCATATTTAGATGGCTCTTTAGAAGTGTCAGGGGAGGAATTAATTTGAATTCTATCCTGGTGCTAGCTAACTGGTCTCATTGGAAAAACCCAAAAACATGGAAAATAAAAAGGAACATATAAAGAAAATATGTCTGATGCCTCCCAGATGATGGCTGGAGCTGCTAACAGTACTTTCCTCCTCATATCTTTTATTTATCTCTCCTTTCTTCCTCTGTCCTTGTTTTGTTTATTTGTTTTCATTTTGGGGGGGGATGTTTTGAGACAAAGTCTTGCTATGTAGCTCAGGCAATCCCTTAACTCACTACGGAGCCCCAGCTGGCTTCGAACTCACGAGACCCTCCTGCCTCAGCCTCCTAAGCGCTGGGATTACAGGTATATGCCACCACGTCCAGCTTTGTTTTGTTCTTGAGACTGGTCTTACTATGTTGCCCAGACTGGTCTTGAATTCTTTAGGCTGATGTGATCCTCCTGCCTCAGCTTTCTTAGTAGCTGGGACTACAGGCATGTGCACCACTGTGCCTGAGATTATATATATTTGTGGGGGAGGTTGAGACAGGTTTCTTGATATGTAGTTCTGGCTGGCCTTGAACTACTATGTAGTCCAGGCTGGCCTCAAACTTGCTGTGATCCTCTTTTTTCCATCTCCTGGGGTCACAGGTGTGTGCCACCATGCCAAATAATTTTGATATTTCTTATAGCCTATTTCTCCCACTTCTTGTGTTTCTGGTCTGTGGATGTGTGTATTTTGTGTGCACGAGTGTGTGTGTGTTTATCCTTTTTTCCAAACCTGTTTCTGCTGGTGGGGATGAGATATAGTGAAGTTCCCACTCAAGACCAGAGGGGTCTGTTCAGCTATAGCAGATCAAGGGCCACCTATACGGCCATCTTTGCCTCTTCTCCACCATAGCTGCTTAGCAGGTGACTCAGGTGGTTGCAGGTTCTGCAGTATAAACTTGAAGAGAGCAGAGGCCAGGCAAGACTTCGGTGCGCAGGGGCATCCGGTGCTTTACGAAAATCCTGGGTGCCCGGCACACGGTAGATGTTTAGTAAATATTTGCTGAATGGGCCAGGGATTTAGTTCAGTGGCGCCGCGCCTGCGTTGCAAGCACAAGGTCTAGAGTTCGATCCCTGGTACCAGAACAAATTTTGCTGAAGGAATAGGCACAGGAATGACTGAGTGCAACAAGAGTCCTGAAGCAGGACTCCGCGCAGTCTACTCAGAGGTTCTTCCAGGGGTGTGGCTGCAGGCCACAAAAATCAAAATCAGCCAGCCAGGGCCGGGGATTTAGCTCAGAGGTTCGGTGGCCTGCTTCGCAAGCGCAAGGACCCGAGTTCGATCCCCGGTTAAAAAAAAAAAAAAAAAAAAA